GTAGGTTGAATTCCGTCACTGTGAAAAAAACTATCTTCCTCGCATTGACGACTTGTTGGATCAGTTACAGGGATGTAAGTATTTTAGTACAATTGATCTGAAGTCAGGATACCACCAGATCGAGGTCGCACCTGAGGATCAACACAAGTCAGCCTTTCGAACCATGTATGGTCACCATGAGTTTGTGGTTATGCCTTTCGGACTGCTACTTTTCAAAGCTCTATGAATGAATTGTTTCGACAATGATTGGATCAGTTCGTAATAGTGTACCTCAGCGATATCCTCGTGTATAATAAACACTGGAGGATCCTGGGAAACACATGCAAATGGTTCTACAGAAGTTGCGAGAAGGCAACTACAAACTGAATCGTAAGAAATCCGAGTTTGCTAAATTTGAGGTACTATACATTGGACACGGTGTGAACGAAGAAGGATTAAGGCTTGAAGAGAAGAAAACAGCAATTTGGGATTGACCCAGATCCAAGACTGTCACTGAACTAAGATCTTTTTTAGGACTTGTTAGTTACTGTAGGAAGTTCGTGAGGAACTTCTCACTGATAGTTGCACCTATCAGAAGACTACTGAAGAAAGAAAAACCTTGGTTATGGAACAAAGATTATGAGTCTGCATTTAAAAAGTTAAAACATGTGTTAACTCTCGCTATCCTGTCTTAAAAATTGTTGACCCTTCTCTCCCTTTTATTGTCACTATTGATGCTAGCCAATAGGGAATTGGGGCGGTGCTAAAACAAAGGATGATGGTAAAGGATATGCATCCATTGAGTTTATATCCAAGCGTCTTTCATCTGATAAAGTAGCTAACTCCACGTAGGAAAGGGAATTGTATGCCTTAGTTGCAGCTTTGGACATATGGAAACACTACTTGCTCGAGAGACACTTCACTGTGTACTCAAACCACTCTACTCTTAAGTGGATAAAGACTCAACCCCAACTCTCCGACAAGTTAGCTACATGGTCTGCATTCATTGATACGTTCGACTTTGAATTGAAAACTATTGAAGGAAAGTCTAACGTTGTTGCAGATGCTTTGTCCAGACGATCTGATTTTTTTTTTAGCTATTGTCACTTATCTCTCTTTTTTTTTTCTTTAGGAATCTAGGACTTTTCTTTTTTTTTTTAGACGATGGTCCAATCTATTTTTGGGGAGCAACACGGCTGGGAACCGGGCCCAGCGTCCCTTATCAAAATACAAAAAATGAGCTACCGCGGCCATTACCCGGCTTCGGCTAAGAACAATTGAAAAAAAAGAAAAACTCAGAAACATTCAGAAGATGTGTGTCAACAAGCCTCCCAACCACAAATCAGATAGGTGAAACCTATTCAATCCACCTTCGACGACCACCACCATCATGGCTGTTTTCATCACGAACCGAAGCTCTTCCAGACCTCATGCTCCCATCAGGCTAGGTTACAGAGTTGCACCACCTTGCTCGAGCACCGGTCAGCATTGCTTCAATTACGACCCCCGATGACCACTGAAACTGTCGCCGCAAACAGCCCCCCAGATCTCTCTACCAAGCCTCACGCCCCCACTAAGGGAGGTCATAGAGTTGCGCCACCTGGCTCCGGCTCCGACTAGCGTTGCTCCAGCATCGATCTTCGAGGGCCACCAAATTTTCGACCACCCTTCGCAGGATCAAGGATGACTTGCCAGATATCACTTTATTCCTACAACCTCCTCGAGAGGCGAACCAAATGGAAAGAAATACTAATCTGGATGTTAGAAGTCTTTGAGAGAGATCGCCCCTCCCTCCCCCTACCCCCTCCCCCCTCCCCCCTCAACCCTACACTGCCTGCGCCGAGGCGAGTCTCCCGCTCTCCCTCGGCCCCAATATAGGACCAACCTTCAACCCCACTTTCCTCAGGAACACGTAGTTCCCACCTAAAGCATGCCCCCTCACCCCTGCCCATTTTTGCCTCTGTTGGGACTGATGTTGACCCACACACCAGCCCCTGCCCTAGAATAGGGCAACCCCCTACTCCGGACCTACCCTCTTTGAGACATTCACCCCCCACCTTGTAATGCCCCTACAAGATAGAGCTCCCCCCACCCCCTTCTTAACGTTCAGCCCTCCGGGAACAATCCGATCCAACCAACGACAGTTATTAACGACACACTTACCAAAATGCCAATCGCAATTTGGAAAAGAAGGGCCTCTTCAAAAATATGCAATAGCCCCCAAAACACCCTACATCTTTAAGAACAACCCACTGAAGGGCGGCAATAAAACTATTACAATTATTCCCCTGCCCTTTGTGCCAATCAACTTTTGGCAGCTCCCACCATGTGCACGTATCACCAATTTAAAAGAAGCAACAAACTAATTATCGGAGAGATTCCAAAGTTTTCGGGTTCCAAGATTAGAAAATCATGATAGAACTTTACTTGAGACTTTTAGAAATTATAGTCGAAATTCAAGGATAAGTAGTTATAGAACAGATCCCTACAAATTATGTTGGCGATTCAAAAAAGATGATATATGTTTGTGTGTATGTAGATGAGAATACTTTACTTCGGACTTTTAGAAATTATAATCGAAATTCAAGGATATGTGTGCATGTGTTTACATGTAGATGAGAATTTGGCTGATCAGAAAATAGAAGATAGATTGTGAGTTTAGTTTTGCAAATTTGAGAAGTTGGGTTTATAACTGACTAAGCACTAGATTAGAGCAAGAATATAGGAAATTAGAAGATGTAAAATTGAAATCAACGAAATCAATTTGAAAAGGCAGCCGATGCGAGGAGCCCACACATGTTCGCACAAAATTCTTCTGCTCCATCGCCACTATCATTATTGTGCCGCTACCTGCTTTCGCGTCTTTAACCGGTGAACCAGCTCAAACGAACGCTTGAAACCGCCAGCTCTTTTTGACGCTCCAACTTGTAACAAGCCTCCTTCCTCCACTCCACATGAGAAGATGCTCTTCACTTTCTGCCCGTGCTGCCCAACCAACCTCCACTATATTCGCACAGGAGCACAGGAGCACAGGAGCAAGGCCACTACCTTGCCCAAAATCTTATGAAGACTATCCTAATCAACCCAGCAGCCTCCCCTTCCTCTAGCGTGTCAACCGGCGACACCACCTAACGAAGCATTGAGCGAGAGACCTCTTCAGCCTAAGTTATTAAGGCTGGAACAACCCTCAGCCGAAGCATCACGTCAATGGTCGCGCCAAACAAAACCAACAGAACCTCGCGTCATCGCCTGCTGCCGTAATCCCTATTGCCCATATTAACTCCTCAACATTCCTCGCACGTAGCCGTGTCGACAAGGCACCACCAACTCACGAACTGGCCCATGTCGATAGCGGAGCGGCGCGACGCTCCCTGTCGCGCCGCGACACTCTCTCGTAGTAAACATGCATAATTGGTTCCCCTTTTAGTTGTCACTTATCTCAATATTGGGAACGACTTGAAAGATCAAATCCGAAAGGGTTATGTTGATTATTCAATCTAGAGTCCTATCATTGGAAACCTCCAAAGAAACCCTGAACTCTTTCCTGCATATCGAATGTCTGATAGCTTACTCTTCTTCATTGATAAAACTGAAGAAAGACTTTGCATTCCACACAAGGAACAAATCAAGAGTATGATTATTGGGGAATGTCATGACACGGAAGGACACTTCGGATTTAAGAAGATGTATGCTAGTGATAGAGAACGCTTTGAATGGAAAGGAATGAATGAGGATGTGCTAACCTATGTGGGAACTTACCTTGTTTGCCAAAGGAACAAGCCCTCACGTGAGAATCCATTGGGACTGATAAGGACCACTACCTATTCCAAATGAGTCAGGTGAGTCCATCTCGATTGATTTTATGAGTCTCACCAAGAGTCTGAATGGCAATAGTCAGGTGATGGTCATTGTGGATCGATTTTCTAAATATGTTATATTCATTCCTTTGCCTACCGAAGCAAGACCAAAACTCGTCATCCAGAAGTTTCAGATGCGATGGGTTTCGGAATATTGATTGTCATACAGACAGAAACAAAACAATTACGTGAAAAGTTGCAGTCTGGACAAAGAAGAAAGAAAAATCAGAATGCGTGAATTATGGATTTCCAAAAACCATCATCTTTGATCGGGACGTACGGTTCACTGGCCAACAATGGCAAAACTTGATGGAGGCGTATGGCACCCGATTGACTATGTCGTCAAGGAGACACCCTAAAACTAATGGACAAACTGAACAGATGAATCGTATGTGCCAACAACTTTTGCGAATGTATGTACGGCCAAATCAGATAGATTGGGATGAGAACTTGCCTAAGGTTGCAAGTGCATATAACAATAGTGTTCACACCATCACCTGTAGAACTCCGAACGCACTTCACAAAGGATGGAAGTCGTAACGTCCCATTGATGCTTTGACACGGGACCGAGTCCAACGTCTACCCCAGGTACACGAGAATTTGCAATTCTATATGAAGAAGATAAAAAGAAAGTCAAGGAAAATATTCAGAAAGTCCAACTACAAACATTGCCGGCCATCAGTGTTCAAAGAAGGAGATATTGTTTGGGTCAAGTCTAAAGAATTTTCCTTGGAAGAAAATGTATCACAGAAACTGCTACCTGTCTACTACGGACCCTGGGAAGTTCTCAAGGTGTTAGGGGATACTAATGGACCATCATACATAATAGATGTAGCCCCACACCTCAAGACATGCCCTGTCTTTCACACGTCTAAGCTATACTGCCATATGTAGAAGGTCGTGATTTTCCCAACAGGCCATCTATGTTTCCTCCTTCAATGGATGGTGGCTATGAAGTTGAGAAGATACTTGGCCATGGATATTTTTCTACAGGTGGCAAAGGTAGGCCACAAAAGCAGTTCAAGGTAAAGTTTAAGTCTCAACCCCCGTCTAAAGATCGATGGTTTAGCAAGAAAGAGCTTTAACACACTGCTCCTGATATTATATATGCATAAGAGTGTGGATTAAAAGAGAACTAAGCCTAAAGAATGCATGCGATGGAACTCGGAAACTGGGCTAGAAGGAATGCAATAACCCGCTCAAATATGCCTATGTCGTTGGCTAAGGTGGGGCCACCCACAGGCCACGGATCGGCCTCGAGGCCCTGCATCCGACGGTGGGAAACAGAGCCCTGAAATGAGGCTTCAAAGGCCCTGCGCCCAACAGTTGATCGAAGTCAACTGTACATCGAAATATCGAGGCTCACGAGTCAAAGTCTTCACGGACCCAGTCTAGGCCACCGTTCAAACGCATACACTTGGTTGTACGCAAGTATCCAGGCAGCATTTGGTCCAAGTGGAAGTCTGTAACTGTACAAGATCCAGGTCGCCGGCTGTGAGTCAATCTGAGCCTCCATACGTGAGAGACCAGAGGCTGGTCAACGGCGTCAACATTATTTATTGACCCAGCCCCTGGGGGTCAACATTCAGTCTTGCACTTGCTGCTTGACGCTGGCACGACGCTCACTTGACGCTGGCAGGACGCTGGCACTGTGCAACGACGATGCGAGACTGCTGCTTTGCATCTGGCGCCCTTCTGCTTCTGGGCGCCAGCTATCTTCTGGGATGCTGACGTGGCCCTTGCCACGCTGTCTTTAGCATTGCTGGCGTGGCACAGGCCACACTGTCTTCGATGCAGATTGGGGATGCAACAAGGAGGGAGATCAGGAACTGTGGGATTAATTAAGTGAGAGAGGGGGAAACTTACTTGTTGATGCTGTTGACATTGCCCGCTGCAGAGACGTCTTCATGGGAGATATGTGCCTCTGTGGCACTATGCTGTGATCAGATATTGTCAGACTCGTTACTTGGATACTGTTCGCTGACGTGGATGTGGGGAGAGGCCCCGAGAAGGAGTGCGACATTGATGGATACTTTCTCCTCCACCTTCTAAGTCTAATAACCCCCCTATCAACTTCGTCTTATGATTGCGAGACATTGTAGTACAGATCACATTTCATGATTATTGGAGACATTGATCAGCGCTGAGACATCTTGCATTTCGACACTCGACGAGTTTCTCTCCTGACTGGGTTCAGTACAAAACAATTGTTCATATAGCAATGCCTAGAAAGTACTCACCCTAATAAGAACGATCTCCCTAGGCTTTTAACCTTCTCGTTCAAGAGGTAAACACACACAGCAAGCGTAACAACAACCTGAAGGAAGCCATCAAAGAACACCACCAGCCAATGAAAACACATGTTCAATATGATTAGACATTTTTGCAGCAAGAGACTCAGAGCAGAGCATATTGGGGCAATGTTGCTTCCCTGCAGTCATCTCACACAAATATTAACACTTCATTATCGGAACCTTAGTCCAATTCAGACATCATGTAGAGACAGTTGTTCCACCCAACTACTTATGTATTCACTTATATGGGACTACATAACCCACATCATCTTTGCCCACCAACAAAAAGAAGAAAAGAAGTTGTAAAAAGTAAAGAAAACATCTCTCTCTCTCTCTCTCTCTCTCTCTCTCTCTCTCTCTCTCTCTCTCTCTCTCTCTCTCTCTCTCTCTCTCTCTCTCTCGCGCGCGCGCGCGCGCGCTCGCTCGTGCGAGCATGCACGCACTGTGTTCGTGTGTGTCTGTGAGCGAATACCTGAAAGACGGGGGCCGTTTCTGCAGCAGCTGCTGCAGCAGTCCATGCACCAAGCATGACGAACACAAAGAGTCTCTTGAGAATGAAGTCCAAAGCGGGAACCTCCCACATGTCTGCAAATTGGCGAAGAAGATTCCCCTGCTCCTCCACTTTCTTCTTCAGGTTTGCTTTGAGGTTGATCTTTGACTTCTTCCGCTGCTTAAACTTCTCCATGATGATCTTGTCAAAGGCAGCTTCAATGCTCTCCACACTCTTCTCATGCCGCTTGTATTGCTGCACAAGATAGTTCCTCGCTTCCTGAATCTCCTCGTTTGATGCATCTGAGCTGATGCCCAGCCTCTTGTAGGGATCCCTTATATGCATGCGATCAAACACAGGTGGAGGCCCCGCTGCAAGCATATCATATGGTCAACCATACGGTCAATCATTACCAACCAGAGACATGAAACAACAAAGAATCAGCCTTACGATCATTACAATAAACCACTGGCAACAACAATGACACCTACAAAGAAGAAGAAAAAGTGAACAACAAGGCTAAGGTCATAACCTTGCAATAAATTTGCAGTTTCTTAGCGAGCTGTAACAGTACTGGTAACTTTTGCAATTTTCTTTCCTTTTGGGCCCTAACAGGTAACCCACGACTGCCTGGTCTTTTGCGGGACTTTTCTGCAAAATACCCAGGACCTAACATTTAGTACCTCCCGGGACAGGTACCGGGTCAGGTAGGCCTTGCTGTTCTTCGAGGTCCCAGGGTCCAGTAGGCCGTAGGTTAGCAGTAAAAATAGTTGAGTGTCGATTGACTTGGGGTTGTTTCGGTTTTTTTGTCTTGCTTGGGGAAATGCTGCTGAGCTGGTAGCCGGACGCTACTGCTTGGCGCGCAGTCGACTGCCATAGCTGGGTTGTTGCATGGCCTCCATAGTTGGGGCAGTGCTTGAACAGGGGCAACAGCGCTGCACATCGTGTTCCAGGCGCTGCCAAGCAGAGACCTCATCTGTGCATGTCAGGAGTTCGGCGCTGCATCATCGTTCTTCTTCCTGGTAGCAGCGGTCCTCATCTTCTTCGAAGTGGTAGACATCTGCTTCATCAGGGAAGCTGCGGTGCCCTGCTAATTTGGTGCATGCCTGTTAAACAGGGTTTGGTGGTGTTTCCGGTTGGCGCTCCTTTCAAGTGGAGGTTGTGTGGTGTTCTGCAAGTGCCATGGGGTACGGGCCGCGTAGGGGACCGAGTGCAGCGGCTTAGTCGATCTGTAACATCTACACTAGCCAACAAGCAGCGAAGTAGTCGCAAAGTTATGTCAAGGACATAGTCTGTACCCTTTCAAATGGAACAGGGAAACTAAATCACAAGATTTTGTTCCTGGTCGGCAACAATTTGCCTTTCGACATGCTAATAAGTATGTACTACCTCGAGGTAGCTAAGCCTCAGTTCGACTGGGACAAAAACATGTTGCTACATAAGTTGCCATGTGGGAGGACCGTTAGCCTGACAAAGTGGAAAGCTAGCAGGTTAGAGGACTCGTATGGCTACGTCTGTGCGCATTCATTCTACAATTACTATAAACAAAACCAAGATGAGGGTATGTGCTTAGTCTTTGTCACTGAGAAAGGGTAGGTCGTAAAAACACCCCCAATGCTAGAAGAAGTCGTTGCTCGTTATCCAAACCTTTTCGAAGAACCCACAGGAGTGCTAGAGAGGGAGGCCGTTCATTTGATAGAGATTGTCCCAAGTAGCAGGGTGCCTATAGGACGCATCTACAGGATGTCTCATGTACAGAAGGGCTGGATCCAGCCAAGCACGTCTCCCTACAATGCACCAGTACTGTTCATTCCTAAGAAAAGGGGGACATTGAGGATGTGCATTGACTATAGAGGCCTCCATGCCTTCACCGTTAAAAAAGCTGAGCCTTTACCCCGCATCGACGGCCTATTGGACCGAGTGCAGGGATGCCGGAACTTCACTAAGATGGTTCCGAAGTGCGGGTACCATCAAGTTGCTATTAAGCCCGAGGATCAACACAAAACTGCTTTTTAGCCTTGTACGCAGTATTGGCCGCCCCGACGGTCGGCGGCCCTTGACTGGTCGGCTGCCGACCGGCCGACCAATCGGCTGGTCGGCACCTACCGGTCGGGGGTCGGCGGCACCCCGCAAAAACAAAAAAGATGAGGGGTTCCAAAACCCCTAATAACACCACCAACACCGCCATAGCTGCCCCCAAAACCCCCATACACCCCCCCAACACCCCCAAACCGCCCCCAACACCCTTATTACCCCCCCAATACCCCTTATATCACCCCTATGCGCACCTATTACCTCCCTATACACCAACCCCAACCCCCCTATACCCCCAATATCCCCCTATACACCCCTCCCCAAACCCCCCCATCCCCAAAAATTTCTCAGCGGATTTGGGCTGTACTCAGCAAGTGCAGTACAGCTTCCGACTCAGATCCGAAAAAAAAAAAGTGGATGGTTGTTTTCTGACTGGTCGGCAGACCGCCGACCGGTCGGTCCTACTGGTCGCCGGTCGGGGTCGGCGGTCGGGGTCGGCGGTCGGGGTCGGCGGTCGGCAGGGATGCAACACTGATGTCCAACATAGTAAAGCAATTTTATAATTAGACAGTTTTTTGGTTGTGAAACGATTTCACTCAGTTGACCCAACTTCGCAGACACAGAGATTCGATCCCCAGACCTGTGCCCTAACCCTGTACATTGAACCTGTGTGCTGAGTGAGATTCGATCCCTAGACCTATCCTATACCTGTACAGACCCAGTGACATGAGTAGGATTCGATCCCTAGACCTGCCCTCCGTCCTCGGCTAGTCTGTACGTCAAACAGTAGGACTTCATCCCTAGGTCTGTAGATCAGGAGTTAGGTCTGTTACCGTTAGGCTTAGGAAGGTCTGTTCTAGAAATCTCTATCTGAGTCTACTGAGGCCTAGAGTCTGTCTCTAAGTCTGTAGGCTCTAGAAGGTCGCAGGTCCCTGTAGGCCAGTCCAGTCAGCAAGTACCAGGGGTAGGGGCCGCACGTGGGGAAGGTTCTGGAACACACTGTGGGATTCACACGTTTTGGCCCAGAAGGCCAAACGTCTGGAAACTTCCCTGGGCCACACGTTTTGGCCCAAGCCCACACGTTTTGAGGCAGGCCCGGGTAGCTCCAAAGAAATATAAATAAAGAGGCAGCTTCCAGCCATCATTCATTCACCTGTTAGCCATGCGGAAGAGCTGCCTTGGTATCTTGTGCGTGGAGGTCTGCAGGTCCCCGGAGAGGAAGTGGGCTGTGAAGAAGACAGCGGCCATAGCGAACCAGCGAGAGAGACACCAGCGGCCATAGCTAGGAGGAGGAAGACGACGGCSGCCATAGCCGCCCAACTGTTGGTGTAGACAGGGTGTACAGAGTGTGTGTGTGTGTACAGTGTCGACATTCATGGTGATCCTCATACGTGCGTTCATGCGAGAGTGTGGGAGATTGAGGCTGGTGGTCGAGACAGTGTTTGGCGACCATCGCCGCAAGTTGTACAGTTTGCAATCAGACTCGCTTTCATTCACACTTTTTATGCATGTAAACAGTAGCGCAGCAAACTGGCGACATGCGCCCACTCAAAACTCAGAGATATGGCATCCAGATACGAGTTCACTTTCAATTAGCGATGGCGACTCAGCGCCCGAACAACTCACTGTTCACATACACTGGATCACCCTGGATATCCCACACGCGATACTCTGCACTCACACAAACACACACACACACTATTCACTAACGCTAGCTATGACGGCTATGGCCGCAACTACCCGATCGCTATGCTACGCTCCACCTCTCTCGCCCACTTCTGCCTCGGGCGTCACTGCAGACCTCCTTGCACAAGACGCTGTGGCAGCGCTTCCACATGGCTCACGCAGGAATGAATGAATGGCTGGGCGCTGCCTCTTGATTTATACTTCTGAAACTCGTTGGTCTGCCGTTTGCCATCGGCCCATGGTGCTCACAGCCCCCCGTGGTACTTGCTGGACCGGACTGGGACTGACTGGAGCTTACCGCTGACTGAGTGGGGACTCGCTGCTAACCTACCGGCGTTGTACTGCAATTGCACTGCAGTTTAGTCCACCACTTGTCTCGCCGCTTGACCACTTGCCCACTTGCCGACCTTCTAGAAGCCTACAGCTAAGACTTCTGGACTTCGCTAAGACTTCTATTTGACAGACCTACAGATCGAACCCCTACCACCTACAGACCTAGGACAGCCTACCAAATGTTTATGAATACACAGGTCACAGGTTCAACTCTCGGGGTCTACAGAGGTACTGTACACGAGTAGGGCGAGGTCTAGGGATCGAGCCCTGGAATCTGCATCTGCTACTGCAAAGAGGTGAAAACCGTTTCAAGTTGATTCAGACTGAGTTTAATACAAGTTCATTGTTGTTTCTGAGTTGGAAGCGTTTGGTTTTCCATCGGTTCTCAAGTGTGCATGTTGTGAGCAAGTCCAGAGTCGGGTCTGATTGCACTTGTCCTTGGGATACCCCTTTTCATTGTTCTTGCAGCTCCCCTTTTACTGTGCCTCTTACACACAAGGCTGCCCACGTTGATTGTGGTTGAGCGGCAGCTACCCACATCCCCGTGTGCCTTCACGGCCCACTTGCACGTTATTTCAGGAGGCAGAGTCAAAGGGAAGGTATGTTCCTGTGCATCTCTTCAGAGCTTCATACTCCTGTTCATTTCACTTCAGATATTCAGCTTATACAGTCTTTGTGCCCGTCCTTCATCTTCATACTTCCGTTCATTTCATTTCTGATCTTCATATCGTCTATACTCTTAATGATGCTCATTCGTATGTATTTGTTAGTAGTACAAAGGGAGCGAAGGGGAGGGTGGAGGGTAAGGGGTAGAAGGCGGAGTTCTCTAGGAGTATGGAGCAGGGGAGGTAGCGGCAACGGAAAGGAAAGAAATATGTGGAGGGCAGCATAGAGTATGACATGCAAAGAGCAGGGGAAAGGTGTATGACGGGTTTCACAGATTTCTAAATATTCACCGCTGAAGCAGACTTCAGGGGAAAAAAAAAAAAAAAAAAAAAAAAACCTATGGCAAGTGGCCACCCCTACAGACCGGACAGGACCAGCTCAGGTGTGGGCTATGGAAACACCGCATCCAATTTTCGCAGTCACTGTTGCTGCATCGAACAGCACGGCGCAGACATATGTCACAGGCTACGTGGCTCGTATATGCTAGGAACACAGAGGCACGTCGACCGCAATTATATAGGCATTGCCGTTCCAGCCCGTCTACAAATTGGACATGACATGTCAGGATGCCGTACATGAGTAAAAGCAAAAACTCGCACGGACTATACCTTCATAATCCTCACAGCACAAGGCATGTGAACCACATGCTAGT